GTACGTCAGAAGAAAATTCAATATCAGTTTATGATATTAAAAAAGCCATAGTAGACTCTACACTTCTTTTTATATCAAAATTGTATGCTTCCAACACTTTGAATCGGGTTCACGTACAAGAAATAGTTGATGCTGCTTCAGAATTATTATTAAGTGGATACATAAGTATTTTAAAAAATAAAGTTTTTAAAATATTAAGTAAGTTTGTTGATAATAATGAAGAACTTTGTGAACTTTCTCTTATGTTCAGTGCATGTGATAATATTTTTGCTGGCCTCTATAGTGACTATGAAAGATTAAAAGCATTAAAAGAGAGTGAATTCTATGTAGCTCCTATAAGCTATGTTATTGGTAGTCATTATAGGCCTAGAACACAGATGAATAAAACAGTAATGAGTCATGAATTTGATACTGGTCAATACATTCCCATAACAAAAGTTTTGAAACATTTTGTAGAATTACCAGGTTGCTTTGATGCAATTGTTTCAAACTTAGAACATTTGTCTAAAACAGATGAGCCTTTTTCAAATGTTGTACAAGGAGAAATGTGGAAAGAAAAAGTAGCTAAACATTTCTATGGTAAAACAGTGCTTCCACTAATTTTTTTCTTTGACGATATGGATCCAGATAATATCACAGGTTCTCATGCTGGTCACCACAAATTAGGAGCACTTTATTATAGCATTGCTTGTGTACCTCAGGATTATGCCTCAAAACTTGAAAACATATTTTTGGCTTCTTTATTTCTCTCAGATTGTAAAGTACATGGAAATATGAATTTATTTAGACCAGTAATACAAGAATTGATACATCTGGAAAAAAATGGATTAATTGTAAAAACTAATTCAGGAGAGAAACAAATTTATTTTAGTTTGTGTCTTTTGCTGGGTGATAATTTAGGAATTCACTCTATTTGTGGTTTAGCTGAAGGATTTAATGCAAACTATCCATGTAGAATGTGCAAGCATCATAGGAATGAAATTCTATCTACAACATCTCTTGCAGTACATAAAATGAGAACCATGCAGAATTATGCTGTTGACGTATTGTCACAAAATCTTAGTATGACTGGTATCAAAGAAAAATGTGTTTGGGATAGTATTCCCAGTTTTTCGTTTGTACAAAGCATTTGCTTTGATATTATGCATGATCTCTTAGAGGGGGTTTGCGGTTATGATTTATCACTTATACTTTTCGATTTAATATGTAACAAAAAATACTTTTCTATAGAGACTCTAAACAATCGTATTCTTTATTTTGATTATGGTCCAGTAGAGTCAGGTAATGCAGTACCACAAATTACAAAAGAGCACCTCATTGCTGGTAAACTTAAGTTCTCTTCTTCAGAAATGTTGTGTTTTGTCAGGCATTTTGGATTAATGCTTGGTGATTTAGTTCCTGAGGATGTTGAAAGTTGGCATCTTTATTTAAAACTAAAATCTATTGTAGACATAGTTTCGACACCTTATGTGAACCTTCGATCACTTAGTTACCTCAGTATTCTTATTTCAGAACAGCACGAAATGTACCTTACTGTCTTTCCCAATGTTACACTCAAACCTAAGCATCATTATATGCTTCATTATCCTCAAGTCATGCGTCGAGTTGGTCCCTTATGGCCTATCTGTTGTCTTCGATGGGAAGCCAAACACAGACCTCTTAAACAAGCAGCTCATGCTACAAATTCTCGCAGAAACTTGCCTTTGACTTTAGCGATTAAACATCAGCTGAATTTGTGTGCCAGATTTATATCTCAAAAGCCTCTAGGTGAGAAATATTGTTTTGGAGTTAAAGAAGAAGTTAGTATTAGAGATAGTAAAAATTATCAATCATTTCGTGATATTCTGCCTAAGGATTTAGATGAAATCATAAATGTATTCTCATGGATCAGAATTGCAGGTACTATTTATAAGAAAGAAATGTGTGTAGCTGTAACGTTCCACAAAGACACTGGTTATCCTGTATTTGGTCGAATAAACTTGATCACGTATTGCAAAAAATCTAATGCTGTATATTTTCTTTTATGTATGTTTGAAACCGTGGATTTTGTGGAACATCTTTGTAGTTATGAAGTGATCGAAGGTTCCTCTGAATGGAACTTTACTAAATTTGACGATTTAATCGTACCCACGCCGTCTCATTGTAGAGTTGGAGCGAGAAGTCCTTCTAGTTTTATAACATTCCGTCATGCGTTTGTGTAAAAAATATGCAATATAATACACATAATATTGCATATTTTTTCTATGTTATATTCTCTGTATACTATATTTACTCTGTAGTATACAGAGTATATCAAAAGAAAATATATGAATTTTTGTTTCAATTTCTTTTATAGTTTATGAAAACTTTTTTTACTATGGTTTAGTAAAACACCAGTGGGTGCTATCTTTTTTGGACCATCTTTTTTTGGGAAACAGAGTCCGTACTGGTATGTTTTATAAAATAAACCAGCGGGTGCTGGGACTGTTCCTTTTTGAAGATGGAGTCCGCATTGGCTAGG